TATTTGTATATATCCGGATACCATTCAAAACGTATACGTCCGGTACGGTTCCGTTTGCATAGACTCTGAACTAAGCCAGCGCAACCAACGAATTCAACTAACCAACCCTGTTGTACAACGTTCAAGGACCGCCTAATCGTTTGTCCAGATGTTTATGGACGGCTGCCTGCTTAGAGTTGGTAACTATAAGCAAACAACCATCCAGGGGCAAGCAAGGTTCACACACCCGGCACATCGCATGATTTGATGCAAAGCAAAGAGCAAAAAATAGAGAGAATTGAAAAATATGCAAAGCAAATCGACACAGTCGGTACAAATATATTAAAAATATTTCAAATGTTGACCGGACCCCTGTATGGGAAATACAGAAATTCACGGCATGCAGACCGGCCAGAAAAAAGAAAGAAAAATAAATCCTAATGCTGCTGCTGAGTTTGCTGTTGCTGCTGCTCCGGCTGCTAGTCCTGACCGGCGTTAGGGGCATTTTGGGTCTACTGGGTCTGAGTTCCCTCACCCGGCACTTCTCCGTGTGTCTGCTCCTCCCCAACGCCGGCCCACTCATCAAACGGCGCCGGTTGCTGAAGCCCGAGAACTTGAGCATCAAATACTTCAGTTGCGTATTTGTACCTCAAGTCGAAAAAGGCGTAGTCGGTCTCCGGATGGATCATGGACCACGCCATCTTCATGCGTGCTTCGCAGTCACGCTCGTTCTCGTTGACCAGCCGGGTCTGCTCAGCCGCCAGCTGGTCCAGAGCCTCTTTCTTGGACTTCACCAAATCATTTTTGGCTTTGTCCAGCTCCCCCTGCAGCCGGGAGACCTCCTCCTTCAACCTTGTCTTCTCCTTCTCCGCATCCTTCAGAGCTTGGATGTCGCTTTTGAGCTGGTTGATCTGGAGTTGACGGTCAGCAGCCGTCTTGTTGGCAGTGTCAGCAGCAGCCGTCAGCTGCTGGATGAGTTCCTCCTATTTCATCTCCCGGGCTTTAGTGTGGATTTCAAGAATTAGGGAGTTGTATTGACATATATCAATTAATTCGGCTGCCTGTTTCTGGGCATCCCTTATCTCCTCTTGCTTTTTCCGCAAGGGGGTTTTTAACCCATCCACCCTCAGCATCGCCTGCAAGAGCAACCGGTAATTGAGTTAGCAAAATTGAACTTAAAAACATCAGCTACCAAATCTTGCACAAAAGTACCTCATCCGGTAGACAAGCAGATTACTCAAAGATACTACATTCGGTAACTTACCTCAGCCAACAGTGAGGTAATCCGGTCAAGATTGACTTAGCTGACACCCGGCACAACCTCTCTCTCAGACCTAGTCAAGGTCCTTATCATTCTCCTGGCATAGTTTTGCATGTCCGGCCAGCGAGAAGCAGTATCTGCATCATGAGACATATCAGTTAAGTGTTGGGAATAAACGACTCCTACATTCAACCGGTTCCCGACCGAGTCTCCTGACTGAGAAGTATGAGATTTGACTCGAATTGGCCCAAGCGGCCAGGGGGAGTCAAAAGCGGAGTCCATACCTTGGTCATCCGGCTGAGGGGTGCCACCACCCCCATCCGCATTGGAGCCGGAAGCAATAGCCGGCACCCGGCTAGAAGGAGCAGGCTCCCTAGATCCGGTCTCAGCCGGCTCAGAGCTCAGGCAAAGACTTTGCAGACTTTTGCCAGCAGTAGTGGGCCTCACAGGAGCCAGAGTTCTGCCGGCTGATGGCGGAGTAGGGCCTTCTGAGACCCTGCGCATTTGTGGAGGCGGTTGAGGAAGCTCCCCACCCGGTCTCACCATCTGGCGAATTAAGCGGGGAACGTTCTGGCTTCCTGTCTGAAAAAAAAAACAATCAATAAGTCAGAATCAAGGTTATTGACAAAATATACAAACGGTTTTATGGCAGCCGGTGCTTACCCCACTGGCCCGGGCAGCAAGTTGGGCCCGTTTCTACTCCAACTGTTCTATCCTGATTTCAGCGGCTGACTTAGCCGACGTCATTTTAGGAGGAGTCATTTCTAATCCTTTCTTTGCAAAAATAACAAGAAAATGTTAGCATCATTTGCATATCATACAAACGGCATAAATTGTCGGTTAAGCAGTAGACCTTTGTCCCAAAAAGTGCTGAGACCGCAGGCGGAGAAGAATGACTCGTTCTTGAACCAGTCTGGATGAGGGACCCAGAATAGAGGGACAATGATTTGTGTCCTGTCATCTAAAGGCTCGGTAGTTTTCTTAAACAGCCCCGACTCCATTATGGCATCCCAAGCCTCAGCCGGAACCCTTGGTAGGGCGCACTTCTTTCCTAGAAGGGCCGGGTTCTTATTGTAACGGCGCACCCGGTGATTAGCAGCCGTTGAAGGGGAAGAGACGTAATAGAACTTGCTCTTCCAGCTCGTCCACTTGAAGGGTTTCTCCAAGGTCATCATGTACTTCGGATGCGTGGTAAGAGTGTACCAGGCATTCCAGCCGCCTGGGGCACGGCTTAAGTAATACATATGCACGAACACCTCCAAGCTAGGCGTCATGTCCTGCATCTCGCAGGCGGCATTATAGCCAATAATGTTCACCCAAGAGTTGGGTGTAAGCTGCCAGACCCCCAAGTCGTAGCCTCTTAAAATGGCTTTTATGCATTTGTGAAGGGGGAACCGGAGGCCGACTTTGAATGCCGCCTCATAGCAGCCGAAGTAATTGTCGGAATGCTCCAAGTCATCCTCCCAGACAACTGATGAGCTCGCAGGCGGGACACCCAACTCCCAGTCGTCCTCTACCGGACGCTTTTTCAGAAAAGCTTCGAGTGTTGCGTTTAATGTCATAACATCCCGGTCTCTCATATGCGCCTCCAATGGGTTGTTTACTGCCGCCCAGCTGTATGCCTCTTTATTTTCTTGTGGGGCATCCGGCGTCATGGTGGACTCTGATGATCCGGCTTCTTGATCGGTTTCCTCACTGCTTGAGCTCCCGGACTCTTCTAAAATCTCATCACCAGGTGTACTTGGAACGCCTGGTTGATCAAAGGGAGCGTCTTCAACCGGTGTATCGCTTGAATCATCTGATTTGTAATCGGGGTCAAAAGTCGTTTTCCTTGTCCGAGCCATTTGTCTTGCACATGAACAGAGACGGTCGGATTCACAGAAATGTAAGGGTGTTCCATGCACCCCTATACGGCATCCCCAGTCCTAGATTCAGTCGTATCCAGTGAACGGCTGACAACTGCCCTAGGCCGTGCCGTGTGTGTATTGGGAGAGTCCATTATTCTCTAACCTATACAACCAATAAACTCAAGAGGTTACAAAAAGGGCAAGGATGATACCTTGTATTTATGAAGACGGTTGAAGAAGACTAGTGCTGAAATTCCAAGATGTGGCTTGAAGATGCCACAGGCGGAGACGACCGTTTGTGTTGTAAACCTGAAGCACAAATACAAACAGTCAGGCATTTTGGAAGAAATTCACCCAAAGATACCCCAGGCGGTATCAATAAAGTGTGTTCAAAGATACCACAAACGGTATCATGCAGTTCTACCCAAAGATACCCCAAGCGGTATCATAATAGCTTGCTCAAAGATACCCCAAGCGGTATCAAGGAGGCTTACTCAAAGATACCACAAACGGTATCACAAAGTTTTATTCAAATACACCCCATGCGGGATCAATGAAGCTCACTCAGAAGTACCCCAGACGGGACATCTCCATCTGAGGCTCCATTGAATGTTTGAAGGGCAGGTCATGAGCAAGCTATGAAGATCATTGTTCAAGCACCCCCCAGGCGGTATAAGCCCGGCTAAGGGTGCGAAGTATCTAAGTCTTGAAGCATAGCTTGCATATACCCCAGATGGTCCATAACCGTCTGTGGGTCCAGTTCTGAAGAGATATTATTTGAAGACACCCCAGACGGTCCAGAACCGTTTGTGGGTCTGATTTTGAAGAATCTTGTTTGAAGAATCTTGCCGTCTGAGGGTCTATGAAATGAGTTTTTTGATAGGCAGTTGTTTGAAGGTGGTCCAGACAGAATCCTTTCGGTTGAGGGTCTACTGGATGCAAAATGCTACTGACTGAAGATACCCAGACGACATGTACCCGTTTGTGGGTCTTTTGAATGCAATTCCTTGAAAACCATTGATTACAGATATCACAAGCAGTATATCACCGCCTGTGGTCCTATGGAATGCATTATTAAAGGCCAAGGTTTGAAGGTACCCCAGACGATCCAAATTGTCTGTGGGTCTACCATTTGAAAAGCAAGGTCTAAAGATGCCCCAGACGGCATGTAATTGTCTGTAGGTCTTTTGAGTGCAACTACATGAAAACCAGTATAAAGGTGCACAGGCGGTATCCACTGTCTGTGGGGATATGGTATGCATTCAGAGTAGTCCATTGTTTAAGGATACCCTAGACGGTCCACCATCGTCTGAGGGTCTATCTTTGAGGATCATGGTTTGAAGATTCCCCCACACGGTCCACACCGTCTGTGGGTCTACCAAATGCAAAGCATAAAAAGGGCTTATGGAGTCCCAGACGGTGTATGACCGTCTGTGATTCTACTCAAGTTAAGAAAGAAAATCAAGTCAGACGGTACCTGGGAGAATTAAGTGAAGAAGTCCTCAACCGGTATCCGTATGCGCTTCAATGAAGCAACTGGTTACACAAACTAGCAGCCGGTGTCAGAGCTCTCAAGGAAATTCTGAAAAAATTTGTAAAGTGAAGAGGAGCGAGGGTGTGCGCCTCAATTTATAAGCAAAGACCAGAAGGCGAATCGCCACCTTCTGCCTTAACCTTTCGAATTTCGAATCCAGGAGAGAGAGGCGGGAAGCAACTCAATCGTCGCCTCCTCTTTACTTGACACCTGTCACAGGTGACACGTGGCTACGCCACGTCACACATGTGAGGGGCAAATTTTTAGGGTAAAAATACCCTATGCCACGTGGCCCAGTAGAATCATGACACGTGGCAGCCCACCAAAGGCCCAGCGGGATCCAATCGGATGCTGCCACGTGGCATCAAAACCCTAATCAGGGAACATGTCTCCCCCACTATAAATAGAGGAATCCTCCTCATTTATTGGGGATTCATAAATTCATACACGAAACCCGAGCAATATTAATTGCGGAATCTCTCAGAATCAGTGAGAAAAACCTATTTACCTTCCGCACTATTACCCATCCGTAAATCATACTAACTAACCGGAGTTCCGTGGTTTTGCAGGTACAGAAGTCAGGCGCGCATACTCCGTATTGTAACTCTTCCGAGGGACTAAAAACACCCGAAACAACAGCCAACAACATTAACAATTCCACTAACAAGACTAATAGTATCCTCAACAACTAATCAACTGAAAACGACAAAACAATATCCTAAAACCCATCATTCAAACTAACAACGAAAGCCGGTATTGACTGACTACTGATCCCACAGCCTAAAATCACAATTAAACCATCTAAACAGAACTTGCAATTAACTTAGATTTTTATGTGGGTAATTCGTGTTTACCTTAATTTGAATGGTGAATATCGTACTAAGATCGGAACTTTATCAAACTCAGTTAAAAAAAGAGTGAAACTTAATAAATACTCACATGAATTAAACTACAAATTAAATTTCGATAAACCTCAGATTGTAAATTAAGCCTTAAAGTACCCAATTTACTCATTGTTGTAGCTACTCTATTGATACTATTTGAGAGCAGAAGGGAGTAACAAATAAATAAGCAAATTATTTCAGTTTTTAATTAGAAAAATATCAACAACAAAAAAAAGCACTCTATACTGTGATAGTTAGTTAGGATGAGCAAATAATGACTCATAACTCAACAATTTCCCACCTGGCACACAATCCAACATCCAAATGGGCTTCACAATACGTAGTCCACCAATGAAATATCTATAGCAAAACATACAATGAAATAAACCACATTCAATATAATTTAAGGTATTCTACAAATAATACAAAGGAAAAGTGAAAAAAATACAATGAGTTAGCTTACTGCAAATTATATGAGTGACACGGTGCCCTAAAAAGTAATTCTCAAATCGACGTCCCCCATGCTTCAGCTTGTATGCCTGATACTCTTATAATGTTTTTATTATATGTGGTTATCATAATCAGTAAAATTAATTGATCCAAGCACCAATTACAAGAAAATTTTGGAGGCTAATTATTGACAAACCTGGCATAGTTAACCCATCTCTTCTTTGATTTCTTGTAGATGCCCTATAAATTTATTATCCTAACTGTCAGGTTAGAACAACAATCTACCTAAATTATCATCAGTCAAGTATAACATTACTTTTTAAGAGTAGCTACAAAAGTAAGGTGATCGCAGGGCCAATTCGTACTTGCTTAGCGTATCCTCTGGTGCTCGCATGTATACAACTGCATCCTAACAACAAAAACAATAATTATACCCAACTTACAACAATTTTCCAACTAAAATTTCAAGAGGAGGATGAGCATAATGCAGAGTGAGTAGCATAATGTAGAGTGAGTAGGATAACCCGTTTGTACATAATTAACTGATCATGCAAGTATGAGAAAGAGATAAATAGAGTATAACTGAGTTTTCAGACTGAAGTGAAAGCTAAACTCATCGGACTCATAAAATTCCAAAAAAATCAAGCAAAATCCAAAAAAAGGGGAAATTACAGAAAATTAGCCAATTAATCATCTTAACCCCATAAAATTAAAACCTGGAAAATGTAGCAACTGATGCAATCATCACAAATTTCTTACAAAAGTAACAATTAATCAAATTAAGTATCGGACTAATGAAAAATAAAAACCCAATTCCATAACTGGAGCTTAATATAATTAAAATTACAATAAAAAACCTTGCCAAGAGTGGTGGTTTTGGCCATAGCAGGAATAGTAGCAGTAGCTTGAATATCACACACAAATACAGAATTCCTCCGATTATAACTGGCATTTCCTTGAATTTGTACATCTCTTTTGCCCACAATTACTTAAATTCTCGACAAGCTTACGAGAGATCCATTCAGAAAAGAAAATAATTATATTAAAATTGGTTAGATTAGTCAATAAAGATCAAATTACAAGGTAAATCAAATCAGCAATAATTGAAGAGATGAAAAAACAAAAATCCCAAACTCATCAAAATACTACGACCAATTCAGATGCATGCAAAAATCAGTATGGTAATAGTGAAATTAAACATGTTAATAGGGAATTGAAACCCTAACTTTAGCTAACTCAAATTCTTGTTGATAATGGAAGGGAGAGGGAACGAAACTAACCCTAACCCAAACTTTAAGGTGGAAGCCACCGAAGATGGAAGCCAGGAGGTGCCAATCGTGTCTTTGGAGGTGGCAATCATCGCTGTCTCTTCAACTAGGTGCACAGAGTGTTTCATACGTCTTTGGGTTAGGAGCACGGGTTGCGATGGGGGTAGGCTGCGGTGGGTGGGGGCTACACTATCGCACTGGGAGCGAGAAGGGGGTAGCGGTGGAGCACCGAGACGGAGAAGTTCCATCAAGCTTGATGGAGAAACCGAGAAATACGAGGGAGGAAGAGAGTTGTGAGACTATGAGGGTTTTTTTTAAAAAAAAAAAAATTATATCAAATTAAATTTACAACCAAATTTTATCTAATATCAAAGTGTTATTACAACCAAGTGCTACATAATATCAAAGTGTTACCGTAAAGTGTTACCTAGTATTAAAGTGTTACAAAAAATGTTACCTAATTCAAGTATTCAATAATGTAACACCTCTTATTGTTACCATAAAATGTTACTTTTTTTAAAAGTGTTACTATGAAGTGTTACTTATGTTAAAAGTGTTACATTGAGTGTTACATTCTAATAAAGTGTTACCAAAGTGTTACTTATTAATTTAATATTTTGCATTTCAAGAAGTGTTACCAATTATATGTTACACAAAGTCAATTATGTACTAGTGAGACTCGTAGATCAGGCGACCTCTAGAAAAGTGCACGGTTAATAATACCCCATGAATCCCAACCCCTGTTTGTCAATACTCTAGATGTGCACAAATCCAATGTTTTATTGCTCATCCATCTTGCAATTTACGTGATTTACCGGTTAAAATTTGATGATGACTCAAATACAGAAACAATACAACCAATCAATCATTAATCATTCAAGCAATTCAAATTTCCAATTCCATTCTTGAATTATAGTGACAAACAACATTTAGTGTTGAATCATTTATACTACCTCGGTGTATAAACACCTTAAGTGCATAAGGCACCTCAAATCCTCAACCTCGTCTTATATTTGACTTCAATTCTCCCTTTACTCATTCCATTTCGATTATCATGAACAAGTAATAAAAATAATTCAATCCACAAATTCATGTAACTTTTTCTCTTAGTTCATCTCGCAAGTTAATGCATATAAATTACTTACATGATAAATCAACGTATATAAAACCTCCACACGACTACATGTCATACACAAATCAAGAATATTTACCAATGAGATTTGTTACCAAACAATTTCAATCAACCACAAGTTCCCTAACATGATTCTAAGTTTTTCCAATCCTTAAACATGCTCCTAAAGTCATGGTTTATCGTATCCTTGTACGTACCTTGAGTAAACGAATTGATGTGCAACTTTACCAGCTAGAAATCACCATCTATGAAGTCCTCTCCTAAACCAAACAACAAGATTCCAATCAATACCCAAACAATCAAATTTACAGCAATACTAACTTTAAAACCTTCAAAATCCAATTAAATAACACTTTAAAACCTTCCATTTAATTAAAATCAAAAGCTTATATATAGTTCTGTAAGTTTCCTTCATAAAAACCTTTAAATACACCTTTATACATGAAATTACAGCAAGTTTAAAACTTTATAAAAATCTGAAGATTTATTTTTTGTATGAAATCTTGAAATTATAGTAATATGTAAAAACTACCTACATTATATAGTAGTTTAGTAAGCTTTAAACCAAAAAAATCATCAACTCTATGTAATGAAAGACTTCAAAAACAATAACAATAATCTGAAAATTAATTCTTGAAATTAGACTTTAAAGTTCAAAGCTTAATAATCATAAAATACCCACAACCAATGTTTAATGGAATTAGAACTTGAAAATATGAAATTAATAAAATTTAAAACCAAAATTGAAACTTTAATAATCTGAAAATTTATTTATAATCAAATTAATTAAACTTTAACATAATTTAAACATAATATGATTAGGTAACTTAATTAACACGTTTTAAACCCTAAACCCATGAAAAATGAATATTTAAACCCAAATTTTCTTAACTAAATAAATCTGAAATTTAATTCACTAATTTAAACATAATATAACTCATAAATCTTTTAGTCTTTTAGAGTGATTCAACACTAGTAAACAATAATAATAACAATTCAAAAATCAAAATTTAAGAAAGATTAAAACTGGGAATAAATTCACAAAAGAGAAGGAAAGAGAGAGAAGCAAACGGTGGGCTAGCTGGTCGGTGGACGACCGCAGAAGCAGCAGGGGGTCGCCGGTGGTGGTGCGTCAGTGTCTGTGGTGGCTGGTCTGCAACAAGGCGTCGAACTCTTTTTTTTTTTGTTGACCGTGAAATAGGAGAAAGCAAAAAGGGAAAATATTTGGGGTTTCTCTTTTTATTGTACGTAGAATAGGTGAGGGGTTTGAGGAGTTTTTATAAATACTCCCTCCGTTTCGCATTAGTTGCGACACTTTTCATTTTCGGCCGTTTCATATTAGTTGCAACACTAATATATTTGGAAAGGACCCACCATTATTTTATAATTTCTCTCTCCCACTAACCCCACTTTCACAAATATTTTATTATTTCTCTTTCCTACCAACCCCACCAACATTACTTTTTTTTTATTTTTTTTTATTATTTCTATCTCTTACTAATAATATTTTATATTATAAGCCTATAAGCCTAGTCTATAGTTTTCTTAAAGTATGAGCCAAACCTACAGTTGCAACTAATGCGAAACGGAGGGAGTAGTATATGTTGGGTTTTACGATGCGTGAGCACCGCGTAAAACCAAAGCCCGCTTGGACCGCATGTATAATTAATACAACTAAACAAACTAACATGAAATTATTAGAGCAATACACACATAAAGAGGGAGAGAGAGAAAGTAAAGAAAAGACTTCCTTGCCCCTAAAGCGTGCTTCTCACGAACCTCGAGCACGAACCACGGAAAGCTCAAGACCCGCAAGTGCGAACCCTCCTACGTCGCACATCCACGTGCCCGAACAAGGTTCTTACCTCGTAGCTTAAACAAGGCTAAACCAAAAGAAACTCAAGTTTTATGAACTTAAAGGTTTTCTCAAACTTTTGGGAGATGCCTTATTGAGTTCAACTCAAAGTGTAAATTTCCCAACTCCCAATGTTGGTATTTTAAGCAAAGGCTCCCAAAAACCTCAATCATCTTTCCATGTGGGAGAAATGATAAAGTGAGAAAATAAGCAATTAATTCAATTCTAAATTAAATTAAATAGCATAAACAATAAGCAAATGACAACTGACAATCCAAGGGAGGAGTTAGGTAAGAACCACAAACCTTCCGCTTGGAGAGCAAGCAAGCCGCTACCTGACCCTTAGTCAATTCAAGCTGACCGGCCAAAGCCTTGGGCTCCAAGGCACGTCCAGCTTGTGGCCTAACCCTCGGTTGGGCCTGCCAGCATGCCGCAAGCCCACGTGAGCTTGCTGAGCACTAACGGGCTGCTAGCTAAGCCTGCTCGCGTGCTTGCGGGTTGGTGCTAGCTTTGCTAACATTGGCCTGCTCGCATGCTTGCGGGCTGACGCTAGCGTTGCTAGCTGAGCCAGCAGGCATGCTTGCGAGGCTTGCGCTGCTAGCTAGCTAGCTAGCTTGGCCAGCTCGCCCGGCCAGCGCACATGCGTGGCTTCTAGGCTTGCGGCCGAGGCTAGAGCATGGCTATCAGCCTTGCTAGCCTAGGATGCCTAGTCCTCAATTGGCTAGGACAATGCAAGGCTAGGTCTTTGCGCGATGACTTGTCATTTGACTTATTTTCTCGTCTTCTCGATTCGTTGAATCGACTTGACGTTTGACGCTCGGCTTCGACGCTCTATGCTTGAAATCCAATGCATGAGTTCGTAAAATCTCTATCAACTTATTTAATCCTTCGGATTAATTCGTCTCCTTTGTTAGGTTACACAATTGGGTGTGACCCGTAGGGTTCAGTCAAGAGCAAGCTGTAAGATTAATTATAAGCGACCTCTAGCTAGGCATTCCAATCACTTGACTTCACTAAATAATTAGCTTTCCTAATTAATTCCGAACCCTCTATCGGAATAATACACTTGTTCGAAGGACACCATTCCTTTCAGTCTCCCACTTGTCGTTCTAGATAAATGTGTTGTATGTGTATTGCCTTTTTCCTATGTCACTTAATGCCTGTCCATGAACTGTAAGGTAAGATTCATCGTCATCCTTATTATGTCCATAAGTGTTTCTCGATTTCCGAGTTTGACTGTCAAGAGCAGATGATTTATAAAATCCATCTGAGCATGACCATGCATTTTCACAGTCTCGCTATTTGAGAGGCCTTGTAAACAACAAAGACATGTTTCTTATTATTAATAGGAGGACATTCCCAGTCTTGCATTGTAAAGCTTCCCTTACTAAGAGGCCCTAGCCGCCTGAGTGTTGCCTTTATAACCCCGTTGTACGATAGACATTTGACAACTTCAAAACAGACTAGTACTCAAACAAGAGAACTTACAATACTCATAGTCAAGGAAAGAGGTACCGATAGCCATAATGAGTAATATACTTATGACGATTGTTAAATCTCTTACAGTATTCTCATAAGTCGATCCGATATAGTTCTAAACTCATACCTGTGCAAATGATTTATGACATTCATGTCCTAGTAGCATAAGAAAAAATGCTATAAATCATACTACACACTAATCTCACATGGTCATTAGTCGTCCAAACTTCAAATGATCTCAATTAGGGATAATTTCGATATGACATTCAATGTTCACTTAATAGGTGTTTCTTTATCCAAGAAATTGTCTTTATACCCTATTTTGAATGTCGTCAAATTGAATGGACTCATTATTTAATTCTTAACCACAATTAAATAGTTTGTGAAATAATAAGTTGAATATTATTCCACTATGAAACTTTTTAACGTTTCATCTTATGATAAATGGTTTTCCCAAATGTTTTAAGAATAATACTCATTACAAAACATTTATAGAATTCACACCCATATATAATATGCTTGGTTTCTTTTATGTAATTGTGAATGTTGTGGTTCACTTGTTGCATAGGTTTAGTTATGATTACTTTGCAAATCTTAGCATCTTCATTATTGAACACTATCATAATAAGATGATAAGATTCGACTATGTTATGGATTATATGTGATTTAGGATTTATTGTCCAAGTGATGTCTCCCACTCATTTCCATGATTTGAGATCTTCAACTTGGCAACCTACAATCATCAAAGTTCAACAACAAACTATCCATTGAACAACACCTCTTTCATTGCCTATAAGGCAACAATGTTCTCAACATATATTTCAGTAGATTTTGCTTTGCTTGGATTTTACTCCAACCAGTTCACAATGGTTTGGGATACCCTAGTCATTTGTGACCATGGAAATTTACCTTAAATTTTCGCACAATACACGTGGACATAAGTTCATGTTGCCATTCTCAAGCCACGACGCATCTAACCTCGTGGTTATAAATGGCTTCCTCATTAAGGATGTAATCCTTGCTAAGGTTGTGCTCACAACATCAATACTTAATTATACTCGTTTCCATGCATCAAGAACTCATCCTCTTACTTAATCAAGTACTTTGGATCTTGATCATAACCTAATGATCCATTACTTGGATTCAAGTTGATTGGTACTTTATACTTGTCATGCTCTAAGCATGCAGGTCATGTGACGATTCCATATCGTAGCACACATGATGGATTCAATTGCAGAACTATTCCCAATTTGATCCCACTCATGTGACTTTTAGCTCATCTAGTTTCACCGAGTCTTGCTAAACTGTGTGCTATATGATACAGTTGAAAGTCTCTACTAGAGTCTTTCTTGTTTAACTTAGTATTTGTCTAGCTTATACTTAGTTCAAACATTTGCTTAGTTTTATACATATGGGTTGAAAGCCTTTTCAGGTCCTTCATGTTTAACAAGGTAAATTCCTTTACTCGTTGAAACATTTTATTAAGTCTAGTCAATAGATCTTAATTCCCACTATGTACTAAGTGTCGCCTTAGCTTTGTCCATTATTGAAAAATATACCTTCAAATCTAAAAATTTAGCATTTGATAGTCATTTCACAATAGAGTTCGTAAACTTCTTGTTGGACCTTACAAAATTGACTTTTGCTCCTACTAAACTTCTTATCTAAAAGAATTTCTGTGTTTCTCAATAAGCTAACCTTTATGAGAAAACATGTTCCAGTTCCTACATGCTTCCCTTAATCCACTAATGGATTTCTTGAGCTTGCTTTCAAATCTAGCAATATTTAGATTTAAAAAACCCTTAGACTAAATCCATAGTCTCTCCTAAAATCTCATTTTGGGAAGGCGATTTTGATATCTATTTTGCCACAATTCATTTGCACAATTTTTGCTAGAACAATCACGAAAAGACTATAAGCATTCCGATTAGTGAATTGGTTTAATTAAAATCAATGCCGTGAATTTAATTGTAAGCTTTTCAACCAATCTAGCTATGTATGTATATACACTTCCATATTTGTTAGTTTTCTCTAGGGCTGGCAAAAGCTAACCCAACCCGACCCGAACCCAACTTGAAATAAACGGGTTTTGAGTGAGATTTTCAACCCGTTTATGTAATTGGGTCAACCTGAAACCAACTTGAAGTTAAACAGGTTGGGTTTAGGTTGGTAATCCGAACCTAAAACCAACCCGCCTATACCGGTTTAATTGATTGGTTTAGTTTCAGGTCAGATAATCCCGAACCTAACCCGCATAACTTAATTAATTCAAACTTTAAAGCCTAATTTTGAAATATGGGCCAAGCCCAAATTATCTATGCCTTAGTTATTCTAAGTTTCCAACGGCTAAAATGAATGACTAAAACCCTAAAGCTCATCCTCACCTCACGCCGCTGTCTCTTTCTCATTTACTCTCACTCATTGTCTTTCTCTCTCCTCTCTCTTTTCTCTCATTTACGCCATTTTCAATTTTTCTCCATTGAAATTGCTGATTCAAGCTTGTGAATCTTCATCTCATCATTCTCAAGGTAATTTACTAGTAAATTCCATTCTCTTTACTTAATTCTGTTGTGTTTTAATCTGTTTATTGTTTATGTTGCTATATTATTTCAGCATTTCTTCAGTTCATTGCGATTTGTTTTCGCCGATACACTAAGTCCACCGAAGAGTGCACAAAGCCCACCGAAGAGTGCACCTCAAAGTTTAGCAGCAGCCATGGGCAGTCAGATCTAATTTTTAGTTTATTTCTTCAAAATTAGTTGCTGTTGGAAAGCTTAGGAAGTATTTTGGACATGTTATTTGAGTTTCCTAGATTAAACCTTTATTTTCCACCTATTGGAAGTATTTTGGACGTGTTTTCCTACTTTAAATTGTTGTATGAACTATGCAGCAGCACTACAAATATGTTTGCTTTAAATTTGCATTTTATGTTATTGAATGTTGATTAAGCGTAAATATTCACAAGTTTTAAAGGTTGACACAACAGGTTAAACAAATTACAGCTTTATTTTTGTAAGGAAAATTTAACAATAATAATCCAACCTTTGGCCGGTTCTTCCAAAATAATCCTATCTTTTGATTATTCTAGAATAATCCAACCTTTGTTACCCATTTTCTCCTACCAACCCTAGTAGGTCACCCTACCCATCAAGCCGGTTACTAAGCCATGTGTTACTTTCTTATTTGCTATTTTTTTTATTTTTAATTTAAAAAATAATTTTAATTTAAAAAATAATTTTAATTTTAAATTCTGATAATTAATTAAAAAATAAAAAAAAAATCCCTTTTTTTTTTTCTCTCTTCCTCTATCAGCTTCTTTATCTCTCCTCTCCATAACCACCAGTCCACCACCTTCCTTCATGACCACCTCACATCCCTTCCACTTACCCACCATTAATAGCACCTACAACTCTACAAGCTAAGTCTACAACCACCCCAACACACTAACATTACCACTCAAGACACCATCACCACTCAACACAACCTGCCGCTACACAAATACCCACCGGTCGACAATAGTCACGCACATCATGCAATCATCACCAGCCCGTCATCACCACCGCCTCCTCCACCATCCTCACCCACCAAAACATAAGAACATCATAAACCATATAATATCAGCATACCGTCATCACCTCCCTCAAGACTTCCGCCCACACCACCCCTGCCCACAACGAACAATAAACACCACCCTACACCCATCAAAACCTGTCAAAACCACCCTTACCACGAATCACCACCCTTACTCACCACAAATCACCACCCTTACCACAAATCACCACCACCACAAACCCAAACGACCCTCAAATTATAAACCCCAAACGAAACTCAAATTTTAAACCCCCAAACTTACCTTTCAAAATTTCAATTATGGTTTTATATGGTTAAATTTAACCATGAAAACTCTGGATCTAAAGTTTTAAGGTTTAATTTAACCATCAAAATCTCACACTTAAGAGCTTAAATGGTAGTGAAGAATTGAAACAAAAAAAAAAAGGAAGAGAGAGGAAATGGCGATAACGAAAAGGGGCGGGGCCGGGCAGGGGAATGGGCAGGGGTGGCGACAGTGGCGGCGTGGAGGCAAGGTGGCAGTTGTAATCTGGAAGGAGGAGATGAGGGAGAAGGGAGTGAGAAAGGTTAGGGATGGAAATAATAATAAAATTAAAAAGATATTCTTAAAAAAATAAAAAGGAAAAGAAAAATAAAATGACCGGTTGTTTAGGTAACAGGTCACTTAGGTTCATTAAAAGATAATACCCCTTAAAGGTTGGATTATTCAAGAATAATCGGAAGGTTAGATTATTTTGGGGAAACCAACCAAAGGTTGGATTATTCTTGTTAATTTTTCCTTTTTTTTAAAAAAAAACCAGGTCAAGACAGGGTAGGTTCAGGTTGAATTTTTTGAGCTCCCACTGAGGCTAAAAGTCCTAGACATATACTTGAAAAGACGCTAGAAACTATTTCTATCCATAACTGAATATGTTGTCTTTTCTTAGCTTCGACAATTTGTTTAGTGTTACATTAGTAATTTGTGCATATCTTTAAGAACTTTATAGGAAGGGTTGTGATCCATCATCATTCGAGTCATTTCCAAATGACTTTGAGGTCTCCACCAAGATATTATATTCTTTGTGGAGCTGATTATGAAATTCCAATTTCATAACCTTAGGATGATCACTCTTGGCTCAAGCAAACATCGCTTGATCTAATCTAGACGTTTTGATATCTTGCTAAGTCGATTCTATACTTCACCGAACTTATGAGCTACTCAAGATCCAGTTTATTTCATATTTGATGCATATAGTCATATTCATTCAAATTCTTGTGAAAACATTGAAGTAATGGAATAATCTTTAGCTTTTGGAGTCAATTATCTATACCTAGCACAATAGCTCCTTTCTTTGTCGGTTTCAAAAAGTAAGACTTGCTTATCTTAGAACGATTCTGAATCGATCAACTTTCAAGAGTCTATCTGATGGAGCCTTGAGTGTTCTTATTAATGTGACATTGCTAAAAATAGTCGGAACACAAATCATGTCCATGATTTGAACCTTATGAGTTTATGGTAGGGAAATATTTGTTTATAATCAAGCATTCTTGACTTATGGCTTAAACAACCATGCCATTCAAACAAAACCAACAGCTACTGTTCTTTACTTTGAATGTGAGTCTTTCTGTGTGTAAACAAAATGATTGCTGATTATGGAACACAATAACCGTATTTGTTCCAGGCTTACCTTAAAAAGGTCTTTAAACAAAGCAGATGACCTTACAGCTGATGTAGCACCACTTACTTCATTCCAAGCTCGTAAATCAATAACTTAGCTTAACTTCATTTGTTTTGAGGTCACTTCGGAAGTGGAACTCTCAAGCAGTATCTAATACTTATGAAGATAAGTTGCTAAGTTTAACTACGATAACATGAACTCTCAGGTAGAATTGGAATCTCGTATTCCTTTTCTTTGTTCCTTGTTTCCTATATTTCTTATCATACATCATCTCATAACTTTAAGAACCATTTATTTAAGTGGTTTGACTTTTATACTTTGTTAAGCATAATTAAGTATCTAATGCGCTATAAAACAAATTAAAGTTCTTTATTTCCTTTAATTTGTACTTGAATTACTACATTCATGAGTCATACTCATTAGTGTATAAAGAGAAAAGATATGTTGTTTGTCAACCTTTGACAAATTGAGTTTTCAACTCAATACTTCATGTTTATCAAAACTACCTAGTATTTTGAATACATGGTTTCCAACCGTCCTTTCGGACTTAGCCATAAAAGTCATTTATGAGAAGTTGTATTTTAGAAATGCCTTTTCTATATTTGAGAACCATTCTCAAAAGATTTCCTTTACCAATTGTTGGAAACATTATAATTTGATTTAGAATTCTACAAATATAAGTGCAAAGAATAACAATTTATCAAGATAACATAATAAGAATTGAAATACATGCAAATTAGCAATTTCAATTAACTTATTAACGTTCTATTCACACATTCATAAATTTGTCCCAATTAGGCGAGAATAAAACGATTCCAAGATCCCAAAAATTAATAAGTGATAAATGCTTTGGCTTGTCTTAACACTTATTATTTTAAGGTAAGCAATCTAATTGATAATAGCTCTAAGTTATTCTTGGTTCGATAAATCGTCGCATCTGATGCTTTCTTGACGATTATCTCTTTTGCCACGACATCTAAGGACTCCTTACTGATATCGTTGAGTTTAACCATAACTAACGCGTATACTAGTATACCTTACTTCCTTAGGAAAGTAGTAATGCCTTGCTTTGGCATAGCCCATTACTATTCTCTATAGTTCGGTAAGTGTCATTTTGGAACAACAAATTTTAACTCAATATTATAGGGACTTAGGGTTTCTATGTTGGTTGATTTAAGTAAACTAAATTAATCATTCAACATTCGAAACCCTAAACATGCATCTAATATTGCAATTATATATAAGCAAATATATAAAAGATAATTAAAGACACATGGCAAACTAGCATGACCCCTTGAAACTTGAAGCATCCAATTCTTCAAGGTCACCATCACATCTTTTGCTCCATATTCTTAGAAACGCCGTCTTTAGCTTTCACCATCAAGCTTGTAACTACTAGAAATTAGGAGTAATCTAAATAATCTAAGTACAAAAATACTTAACAGCACGTAGTTGTAGGGTTTCGTAGTGACCCACACTACGCGGAATGAAACCCGCCAAGATCCGCCCCCATAATAAATGCAATTAACAAGCAAAACATAATTAAATACAAGAAAGGATAAAAGATTATACCTTTGACGCTTTCTTTGCTCAACTATGAGCTCTTACTTGAACCACGAAAATACGAGGTCTCCAACAGAATCGTACCCTCGAACCCGACCCGAGCTTCCTAAGTCTCGAAGGTTAGTCGAGACCCGGACAAATAAAACTATGAGTTTTACGAATCAAGGTTTACTCAAATCAAGAGTTGCCTTTTAATTCCACTCAAGGTTATCCCATTCCCAATACCTTATCAAGGTTATCCCATTCCCAATACCTTACCAATGTGGGGGAGTTGGTAAAATCAATAAATTATTTAATTCCAAATTAAATAAATAATTAAGTTAATCACATTGCGACAAGTGGCACAATCACATGCTAATGAGTGATGACCAAGGTTAGGTGGGGGGACCATTTGCCTTGCCCCCCAAGGCCCTTGATTGGTCCCCACAATCATGCACAAACCGGCACAAGGTTGCTGGGCTGGCAGCCAGCTAGTGCTGCCAGCTAGCACTGCCCAGCTGCCTAGCATCCCCAGCCAGGCAGTGCGTGCTGGTGCTGGGTGATGCTTGGTGCTGGTGCTGCGTGCTAGTGCTGGGCGCTGGTACACGCAATGCTGGCACTGGCCCCAGCACTCCCACGCAATCCCTCGCACACACTAGCAGCCCTCGCACACGCTCTACGCATAGCCACTCGCACCCTACGCACAGACAGCCCAGCCAACGTGCCTAAGCATGCAAGGCCCTAGCATGCGTGCTGGGCAATGGTGCACATGCACACGCACGCACGGAAGCCCTTGGCATTGCGATGGTGCTGTGCGTGGTGCTAGGCCTGCGATGGTGCATTGGCTGTGTGCTGCGATGGTTCAATAGGCCTAGGCACAAGCACACGACTAGCGTGCTGTGATGCGAGGCAAGCACCCACGCTAGTACTTGGTGCTAGTGATGGTGCTGCCATGCTAGGCACGCACGCCTGCCAGCACCTAGTGCCAGCGATGGTGTTCCTAGCACACCTAGTGTGCTTAGGCTTGCGCCTAGCCATGCTAGGTGCATGCTAGCTCGAACTAGCCTAGCATCGACATGGTTAGACCATTGTGATGCTACGGCTACGCTCGTACTTATCGCTTGTGATTTTTCGACGCTCGGCCTCGACGCCCTAGGCTCGAT